CACACACACACACACCCCCCCACACCCTCCCTCTCTCCCTCAATCGCCCCCCACCCCACTCCACCTCTTTCACCACTTTGATCGGGACCTTGACCTTCCAGGAAGCCCAAGGGCTGTCCTCTCTGCGGCCCCAGCTGGACGCCCACGGAGTGCCTCTCTACGCCGTGGTTCACGAAAAGCTGGGTGTGCCCGAGTTCCAGCCATACTTTAAAGGAGAAATCTTCCTGGACAAGGAGGTGAGTCGCTGTTGACGGTACTCTCCACATCAGAATACTGTCAGCTAAATAGAGTCGAACCTTTATAAAACAACAGTGGCTGTTGAGGGTACTCTCCACATCAGAATCATCATCATCATCATTGCCTTTCTCACCTTGCACCAGTGTATAAGCCACGAACAGACACTTTCCACCTTTCTCTGTCCTGGGCTAGCTTCTTGATGTTATTCCGTGTCTTCCCACTTTTCTGTACATCTATTTCTTTGATTCTTCTCCAGGTTTTACACGGTCTTCCCCTTGAGCTTTTACCCTGTGGATTCCAATCCAACACTTTCTTTGTTATGCAACTGCCTGACTTCCTGAGAGTATGTCCATTCCATCGCCACCACCTTCTTCCTACCTCATCTCTGACTGGGATCTGTCTTGTTTTCCTTAACACTTCCTCGTTGGTGACTCTGTACTGTCTGTCCATCTGATCCTCAGTAACTTTCTAAGACACTTGTTCAAGAAAACCTGGATCCTCTTTATGCTAGTCTGTGATGCGTTCCTTGTCTCACATCCCAACTCATTCCACATCAGAATACTATTAGCTAAATAGAGTCGAACCTGTATAAAACAACAGTTGCTGTTGAGGGTACTCTCCACATCAGAATACTGTCAGCTAAATACAGTTCCAGCCATACTTTAAAGGCGAAATCTTCTTGGATAAGGAGGTCAGTTGCTGTTGAGGGCACTTTCTATTTTACTTTACTTTTCCAATCCTGTGGCCATTTGTTTTTAGCCCTTCAGCCTGTCGATATGGCAAAGAATTTACAGGTTTTTATCAGCTGCATTTTGTCGCTGTAAAAAGTATTTCTGATATCTGGGGAAGGAGGTAGGTAGGTACGTGCTACGCTGGTCGCAAAGTGCAGGGCAGGTACAAAGGTGGTATGGTACTGTTTCATCCTGGTAGCCACACAATGGGCTGTCAGGTGGGGTATCCTTGCGGATCCTATTTAGGTGTGAATTCAATGGAATGTGTTGTGTGTGCAGACGAAAGATAGTGACTTGTTCTCTTCTACTCTGGGAATTTAGTGCATCTTTTGAGTTAGGAGCAGTGATGTGTTCAAATGCAGCTCTTCCAGTTTTGCCCGATTCCCATCCATTCAGTTTTCAGCCACTGTTCCCTGGTGTTGCATTTGATGATGTTCTTGATTTTCTGTTGTGATACTGGGTTTTGAGGGTATGTTTGTGATGCTCCCTTCTTGGCAAGGGTATCTGTTAGGGTACTCTCTACTCTACAACAGAATACAGTCAGCTAAATATAGTTCCTGCCATACTTTAAAGGCGAAATCTCCCTAGACAAGGTCAGTTGCCGTCGAGGGTACTTTTTACAACAGGCTGCTAAATAGAGTCTAACCTGTATAAAACAATCCCCTGTACAAACAGCCGCTTTCCATTTCTTCCCTTTTATATTTTAAAAATTATAATGACACTGTGTAAGACGGCCACGTATTGAAGACGGCCAACAATAGGTGGCTGTCCTAGACAGTTTAGACTATTGTGGTTTGGGAATATTTTTGCTTTGTAATGGAGCTGTCATAGAAGCAACAGAAATGTGGTTTCTTAGGAGACTGCTAAGAGTATCGTGGAAGGAAAAGAAATCAAATGAGGTAGTGCTTGATGAAGCCCACATAGGACGCTCAATGTTAAAAAGAAATCAGGAAACGACAAGTGCAGTTTTTGGGACACCTGAATTAGACATAAGGGTCTTGAACATCTAGCTCTCACAGGCAAAATTGAGGACAAGCGAGGCAGGGGTAGGCCCAGAACAACATACTTAGGGAACCTAAATAAATGGGTAACAGGGAAAGATCAGGGAAACGTAGCTTTTTTGAGAGCATCCGAGCAAAGGAATGAATGGAAAACCATGATCGTCGATGTCTGTCGCAGATCTGGCACTGGATGATGATGATGAATGGAGCTGTCAGACATTATTAGCCCTCTCATCACCAGGGGATGTTGTGTGTTCCAACTGTCAGCCTTAATTTTCAGCTAAGCTCATTAGCCAGAACAGGCACGTCATGTCTCAGTGTTAGTGGACGCTCTGGCTAGATCGGGTGCACTCCTGACATATTTCAGATCCCGGCTCCTGGATAGTGTCTCTTTTGTCACTTATCAGCTCTGCTCGAGTTGGCCCTGACTGGCAGGGTCCAAGCAGCCTACCTCTCAAATGATCTAAATTTTGTTGTGGGGGTGTTAAACTGTAACAATTATTTCTTTGTCCCCAGCGCCGTTTCTATGGCCCCGTGGAGCGCACCATGCTCATCTCCGGCTTCCTGCGCTGGAGCGTCCTCTCCAACTTTATGCGCAACAGCAAGACGGGGATCCAGGGGAACCTCAAGGGCGAGGGACGCATCTTGGGAAGTAAGTCACATTTGCTGAAAGTCTGAGAAAACCTTTTGTGTGTTTCTTCTTAGGAAGCCAATCTCACATGTCAATGCAACAAGAGCATTCTTTTCCTTTCTTCTCATCTGTAAAAACATATGTGAGGCTGCGGGGTGGAATCAGGCTCTCGTCAAAATAATCAAAGTGAAGAAACTTGCATTTTTCCGCAGGTTTGTGAATTTTTATAAAATTTTGTTTTTTGGCTCGACATCTTTCATGTCCATTAAAAAACTCATTTCTGTGTGGATTTTTCTGAAAAACGTTGATTAAAGGCCAAAAAAATGCAAATTTTCAGTTACCACGGACTCTTAAGCTAAGGAAATAACTAATCTTTGGTGGCCATTTTCTCACTAATCTTACCTCTGAAAACAGGTGACCACCACCCCCTTCATTCGCAAATATCTCGACTTGTATTCAAGATAAATGGATATTTTTTTCCACCTAAATAAAGATGAATGAACAAGCTTTAAGATGATACCAGTAACTCTACAAAAATTGACGAGCGCCTGATTCCACCGCGACTTAAAACATATTAATTTTTTTTTTATCAGGGGAAAGGGGAGGGTGTGTGATGTGTGTATGTGTGTGTCCCATGTGTTCATATGACCTTATGCAGTTGCTAGCACCAAAACAACCACAAAAAAAACTGAAAAAAACAACAACAAACAAACAAAAATGACTAATGAACACCCCACGTGAGTTTTTGGAAAGGGCCACTGAAATGTCCTGCTTGTGTTCTTTACCTTTGTTCTTTGTGTCCCTGTGTTTCGCTGTTTCCCGACACTAAATGACCATTATCATCCAATGTGCTTCTCTGAACACAAACTCACCTCAACGTCAATGAGCATCTCTCTCAGAAATAGGAGAAAACAAAACTAATCTATTAATTTAATATCTAAATCTTTATCATTGCATGAAATTTCCGACTTCTGCACCCAGGTTTTTTCTCTCATGTTGGAAGTTTTTTAAATGTGCAGTTTTCTGTGTGGTTTTCATCTAGATGCTTTTTTTATGGTTGCTTTTGTAAGTATAAAATTTTATCCTTTAGATGTTTTTGTGTTTGCTGTAATAATGTAGAATCTATTCAATTGTTCACATTGTTTTTCTTCCCTCCACCTCAGGTTTGTTTGTTGTTACTTGTATACTTGTACTTGTACAATACTTATTATCTGTGGTTTCTGTTCAGGTGTAATTTGTGGTTGCTTGTATCACATATATATATATATATATATATATATACAATTTTGTTACCTGTGGTTTTTTTCCAGGTGTTTTTGTGGTGGGCTCAGGCTCTCAGGGTATCCTGTTTGAGCACCGGGAGAAAGAGTTTGGAGACTATGCCAACACCACAGAGGTCCTCGCCGCAGCCCTCAAAGTCAAGACCAACAAAACTCCTCAGGGGAAATTATAGTTTGTTTGCTCGTGTTTTGTTCACTTGTATGAGGAAAACTCTTTGTGTGTGGTTGTGAAAATGGGTGTAGTGTCAGGTTTTTAGCTTGTGTTGGTTTAGTTTTTTTGTTTTTTAATTTTTTTTTGGGAGTGTGTATGACCTTTGTGTATATGAAGATGTCTTTCGGCAAAGTGTCAGATTTTGACTGCATGTTTTGATGTATGTGGGTGTTTACATGCATGATTTCTTCATGCATACTGGCAGAGTTCCCTTGTGTCAGCCGTATTCCTGCTTTTCTTACATTTTTTTCTGCATGTGGTTTTGAAAGACATCACATAACCATTTGTGTATTTTATTAGCTTAAGATGTGTTACTTTTAATCAAAGATAGGTTACTTTCGATTTAGTATTGCTTGGTCTGTTGTTAAATATCTCAATTAAAATTCATTTTTTAATATGTGCACGTTTAGAGTAAATCATTTTTTGAAAACAAAATCTATTTTGTTTGGGCTTCTTTGAAATAGGAATTTTCAAATTGCATGACAATTTGCTTACAGGAGTAGGCCTACTTCCAGTGCATGTCTTGACCTGTCTATTTTTTGACAAGATGGATTTGACATGAGACACCCAGAAACAGGAAAGGGCAGACAGGCTTACTTTATACTCAGGCCAGTGACTCTTTTGTTTGTTTCTGTAAGGTTGTGTTTGTGTGTTGTTTGGTCCCCTTTTGTTAAAGGGTTTTGTTTATTTCTGTTATATTTATGTATTACAATTTGCCTTAGCCAGAAATGTTTTTATCCTTATTCTCCTCATGACATTTTTGTGTCTGTTTTCTATCAGAAGTTTTGACAATCGGGAGAACGTCTTACTGTTCTCAGTAGTGTGGTGAAATCTGTCCGCATTTTTGTAGCCTCAGAACATTCATGATGAAACTGGAGACTTAAATCTAGAGGTCTTCGGTGGATGGACTTTGGAATGTGTCTGGATCTACCAGAATGCTGGAATTATTTTATCATACTGATAAATGCGAAAATTTGCTGAGGATATTGTGGTTTTGTTTAAGAACTCTTTGAATTATCATTCAAAATGAGTGGCAATTGAATTTTTTAAAAATTGGAGACTGGTTATAGTTTCTAGGCCTTATCCAATTAATTATTAAACAGCTTCCTGAGTCCAACTTCCAAAATAAGTAGAACAAAAAAATCAACAATTTAAATTTTTTTAAAAACAATTTCATGTAAAAATTAATGTAAAAAACACCCTGTTTTAGAGTTGTTCGTTTTCAAAAAACAGGGGAAAACGTTAGCTGAGATTCTTTTGTTTGTTTGTTGTTTGTTTCTTGAGCTATTTATTTATGACAGAATAAAAATGTAAACACAAATTTAGGAGGGGTTTTTTTGTTTACTGATTGCGTCAGTCTGCTCTTTCAGCAATTGGTTTTGCCATACAGATCGTGAGTTGTCTGTTCATAGCAATGGCACAGTTTTTATTCAATGAATATTGCTCTTTTCACAACGACAAAACCTGCTGCCGTCGCATAATGTTTAGGCCCTTCACCTTTTTTTGTAGAAATGTAGGTGTTTTTATCTCTCCCGTGGACACAATTTAGATCAGTTAAGAGGTGGGTTTTGATCCTGCCTGCCAGGCATACCTGAACTGAGATGGAAATAATATCCCAGTAGAAAAACGGAGACACTTGATAAAAAAATTCAATTCATTTGAGAATGGAACTTGGTTCTCCTGCGTTTGCATGGCAAAGGGCCTAACTGTGGGTGGTTGGCGGGTGCTCTGGAGTGGTTTGCTTTTTCTTTCCTATGGAACATCTATCGTCCTTATCTCCCCTTCTTGTTTTTTATGTATGTTTAACTCTCTTGTGACGCCTCTAATCTTCTGGCACTCATATGACCTTATGCAGTTGCGAGCGCCGTAAAACCTCTACTAAAACTAAAACTCAAGGGCCTAACTGCTACACAACAGACGCCGATGCTCTTCACCCTGTACTCAAAAGATGTGAGTTCAATTCCCAAGTTGATAGAATCATGTGATAATAGTTGTGTTGTCTTCTAGATATTATGATATCCCATGCGGGTGGTTGGTGTGTGCTCTGATGTGGTTTGCTCCTTTTTTTCTGTCGAACATCTGTCGTCCTTATCTCTCCTCCTTCTTTTTTGCTTTTGTTACTTTCTTGTAACACCTTTAATCTTCAGCATAATTTATATGACCTAATTGCGTTGCAAGTGCCATAAAACTCTTACTGTGGGTGGTTGGCAGGTGCTCTGGTGTGGTTTGCTCCTTCTTTCCTATCAAACATCTATCGTCCTTATCTCCCCCTCCTTCTTTTTTATGTTTGTTACTCTCTTGTAACACCTCTAATCTTCTGGCGCTCATATGACCTTATGCAGTTGCAAGTGCCGTAAAATCTCTACTAAAACTATAAAAAAAAACAACTCTTACTAAACAAAACACAACCTGGGTTGGTCCTGAAGGCATGGCTGAAGTAGCCCACCTGGGAATCAAGTTACAGTATAACACCGATAGTATGAATTCGCCAGAACCGGTCTCGGTGGTTCGAGGAATTCGTAGGTCAAGGGATATTTTACTTAGATAAAGAAGAAAAAAATAAACGGGACTGCAAGCACAGTTCGACGAATTCGTGATTTGGAGTCTTCTGTGTTCAACCTATCCTGTATGTTGATAGTGTGGGAACCATTTCCAGCAACAAAACTACACCTATTGCCAGGGAAGTGGTATCATGATTTTGTGTATCATCATAATGAAATCTGGTGCTCATCAAAATAAATGAAATTGAAGAAACTGGCATTTTTCCATGGATTGGGCAATTTTGTCAAATTTGTTTTTCTAGCTCAACATCTTTTAAGTCCTATAAAAAATACATGTACATTTCTGGTTATATTGTAATGAAAAACATTGATCATAGGCAAGCATAAATTTTGTGGATGCCACCGAACTTTGTGGCGTTAAATGCTCTCTAATTTTACATCTGACACAAGGGACCCCCAATTTAACTCTTTTAATTGCAAATATATCGACTTCAATTTAAGGTATATGGGTATTTTGTTTGTCTAAAGCAAGACAAATGAACAAATGAAATACAATTTATTATGTGTGTGTTTGAGTGTGTGTGTGTGTGTGTGTGTGTGTGTGTGTGAGTGTGTGTGTGTGTGTGTTGGCGTGTTCACGTGTGTGAACGTTTGTGTAATTTTAAATGTGTTCGCTGTCTCTTTCCGTCTCTCGCTATTTCTCCCTCTTTGGCTCATCTCTCTCCCTCTCACTCTTTTCTCTATCTTTCTTTCCCCTTTCTCTCTCTCTCTCTCTTTCACTCTCTCTCTTTCTCTCTCTCTCTCTCTCTTTCTCTCTATGGGTGTGTGTTTGTGTGTGGATAGGCCTATATGCGTTGATAATTTTTGTTATGAGCGTCAATGTTCATTTATTATGCATTTTTAGTTACTGAACCACCTAGAAAAACAACAAAAAGACATGTGAGCGCCCCCTCCACCCCCCCTCCCCCCGCGCCCCATTTCCAACCATTATGGGTTCTGGCTCCCCTTTCTTCGTCTTCTCTCTCCTCCCTAGTCTATCTTAGTGTCTCTGTATCTCTCTGTCTTTCTCAACCTCTCTCTGTCGCTAATTTATCTCACCCCTCCCTCCCTCTCTCCCGCCACCCACCCCCCCTGCTCTCTCTCTCTCTTTCTCTCTCTCTCGCCTGGCCCCCCTCATCCCCGATTGAGAAACATAACTATGTAACTCGCTTAAAATCAGTGAGTATAGGCCTACTTATTTTATCATTTATGATGGCTTTAGTGTGTCTAGAACATCGTACAATTTTGTCTTTGAACATAATTTTAGTTAATTTTCATTGGCATATAATTAGGAAACAACTTTTTAAAAGTGCTACGCAATATATAATTAGTGGTCTCAGTTTTGGAGTTTGTGCCCTCCCCCCCCCCGCCTTTCTTCTCCATCCCCTGCATCCTCACATCATGAGAATTGCTCGTGAAGCACTTCCTCATGCACACCCCACCCGCTTCTTTATGTATTACCAAAGAACTATCAGTTTGGGATTTCATTTCACAGAAGAGCCTGTGTCGGGCCAAGGAGGTTGAGATTTAAAAAAAATAATAGTAGGCCTATAGTCCTTGTTCTCGGCGGTCTTATATCGCTATATATATATATATTTCTTCTTTTGGGCTACTAAGTTGATTACATCTCCATGGTAGCCAGTCATTTCGACACACGGTCAACTCGTCACACCCCAATTATGTGAAAATTATGAAATGACTTCGTTTATAGGCTGTATATTATATAGGCCTATCTCTCCAAAATTGTATACTAGTGGAGTTTTGGAGGATCAGCCTAAAGCTTTTTTGAAGCTATATAAATTATTAATGTAATTTAAATATTCGTCCAAACTGTTCCATAGTTGAACATTATGCTTAAATAAGGCCCCCCAAAAAAGTCTGGTAAAGAGTTAATTAAGGCTTTATCAGAGATGCCAACCAGTACGATTTTACTTATTTTAGTACGATTTTTTGCCGAAAATACGCGAATACGACTTGTCATGAAAAAATACGCATCCTGGAATCCGAAAAATACGAGATCCAGTTTGGGCGAGTAAACCTAATTATCTCAAGTCCCATCTTTTGTCAAAATAGTATCAGTATCGCGGAACTGGAATATAATTTGAAAACCAAGTGAGATAAGGTCAGTAAGTTCAATGTTGCCGGTCGCGATTGTGATATTATATTCGTTTAGCTTTTCCTCCTCCGAGAATACGTTTCACTTTCACGCGAACAGGCGGCTGGCTATGGCGGCAGACGGAAGTGTATGTGACACCTAGAGGCCAGAGATATTTTAGTGTCTCTGCTATGGTTTACAGGGGAGATCATTCATTCCAAATAGAAAACATGTATTTCGCAGTACATTCCCTTGGTGCGTTTGATAACTGAGGGGAAAAGAGAAAGTAG